CAAAAAGTCAACTCCGATGCGGGGAATCGAACCCCGAGCTGCTGTGATATCTCAATGAGAGACAGCGATGTTAGCCATTACACCACATCGGATCTTGTTGGAATGATCTCAGAGCATTTGCTGAAAGACTCTAAAACATGAGGCCCTGGGGTGTAATGGCTGACATCAGACTGGACTTCAGAGCATACAACATCACAACCCAGAGCACAAACTTCTGCTCCTTGACACCCGTCATATTTCCGACCATGGTGCCTTAGGCACCCATGGTACTCAACACGTACAGTACATAGATCAGAGCGAAGGCCCGCAGGGCCTTCCTCTTCTTTTCTATCCATGAACGGAGTTCTTGGTTGTCTCGACCATCTCTTCTCCATAGCCCCATCCGCCATCTATAGACCACATCTATAGACCGCGCCACTTGAAGCCTCGGCCAACATGAAAGCCAACTGTCGAAGAAATCTCTGTAGATGAAAGCCCGACATGCACTTTGTATTGACCCTCCCTTACCTCCCAGCAGTGCTGTTGAGCATTGTAACTGCTGACACTGTAGTTATCCAACGTGACAGACATATCCTGCACTTCGCCGGGCTGTAGGCTCAATTTTCGGAACTCTTTAAGTTCTTTCAATGGCCGTTGGCTCTCCACCCTGTCCCGTGGCGGGCTGACGTAGTACTGAATGACAGTTGCCCCTCTTCGTATCCCGATGTTCCGAACTCGACAAGAGACTACCACCGTGCCTTCTGGATCTGCGACCGACGTGTCTGTGATACAAACTCCGAAGACCTTGAAGTCGGTATAAGACAGGCCGAACCCAAACGGAAACAGTGGCTCTGGGTTCTCCGGGCGATCATAGTATCTATAACCAACATCAAGTCCTTCGGCGTATCGGATCACGTTGTTCTCGTCGCACGGGAAGTTGGCAAAGCTGGGATTGTCTTCATCTCGACGTGGCCACGAGAAGGGGAGACGACCGCCGGGGTTCGTGTCTCCGCCGAGCACGCGTGCCAATGAACGACCAGCTTCTTGACCCGGAAACCATGCCTGCACAACTGCTGGCACGGAATTTATAAATTGGTTGAACCCAACGGGTCCTCCGCTGAAATTGACCAAGGTTGTGCGAGGGTTTACCGCAGCGACAGCGGCGATCTGCTCGTACTGAAGGGACGACAGATCCATAGACTCCCGATCGAATCCTTCAGATTCAATCTCGTTGGTCGTTCCCACGCAGACGATGGCATACTCCACTTCCTGTGCTACTGTACGCGCAACTTCGATTCTGCTGGGAATATCGATAAACTCATGAAACCGCAGAGCGGACCCTTGGAACATTCGACCGAAGAGAGGCTTGGCATGGAGAATAAGAGGATCGGTATTCCACGATTCTAGCATTAGCGTGTATGATTGACCTGCTTGCATTGGGTAGGTAAACCGTCGCTCCAACCTCGACTTGAAAAAGTAGAAAGGTTCTGGACGCAAGTCGGTCTCTTGAGGTCTCCAAAAACCTTGTCACCACTGATATAGCAGACTGCAGGCCCGGTCGAAATGATAGACAAGATGTGCCCCCCAGACGTTAACGGACGAATACCAAAAGTTATTCGGGTGCAGTAGTCTTGACTGAGGTACTCCGGCCATTTCTCCTTGATCATGTACTCTGCCTGCTCTTTGGTCTCTGAAAAGACCGGGTTCTTGCCAACACATGGCCATTGAACCATTCCAGGTTTACTGGCTCCTTTGCCTGCATCTTAGTATCCGAGGAAAACATGATTGAAGGATCAGCATGCGGCAGGGAACCAAATACTGGGACTCCAGGCACAGCCTTGACTTGAAAGCCAGCTTGATCGAGTCCCTCTATGGGAGATACAGCGTGCAGGGAATCTACCCGCGCACTCCCTCCTCCACCAAGACTGGCTTCCATAGCATGGTGTCCTATCAAAGCCACTGTGACACCTTTTGGCAGTGGAAGAATGTTTTCGTTCTTTAAGAGGACCATGCCCTCTGCACCACTGTCACAGATAAACTCACCTCTCTCAGGGTTCTCGACTGCATCTTCGGGTGGTTCCTCGGGAAGCTCGAACCTCTTGAGACGACAGGCAAGCTGCAGGATTCTGCGAGATGACTCGTCGACGACCTGCGCAGCTACCTGCCCATCATTTACCGCTCGCGCGAGCTTCTCCCCGCGCCATCTCGTTGGCCCGGGCATTTCCAAATCCACCCCTGCATTTATGCTGTCTGCAGTAGAGTACACCCCCATCCAATCTGAAACAACCACTCCATCAAAGCCCCATTCGCCTCGCAGGACCTGATTGACTAGTTGGGGATTATCAGCAACATATTTTCCGTTCACGCGGTTGTAGCTGCACCATGAAGCCAGGTCAGTCAATTAATTGTCCGGTGAGATCACTGCTTTGGTGACCTGGTCGCATACCTGGTCATGAAACAAAGTGGGTCAGCCCATCTCATCAGTAATTGAAATGGAAGCATGTAGATCTCACGAAGAGTTTGCTCGTCAATGTCGGCGGTCAGAAGTTTGCGGTTGTTCTCAGTGTCGTTGGCCACGTAGTGCTTGGGAGTGGCGGCAATACCAATGGACTGGCAACCTAATTGAATCAGGTAAACAAACTGGCAAAAGAGAGGGGCCTGCGATTGCAGATCCTACCATTGACAAAGGCTGCCGCCAGAGCTCCCAGCACGAAGGGGTCCTCGGAGTAAGTCTCATAATTCCGCCCCTCTAGGAGATATCATTGATATCGGCCTGTGCCTCACTGCGTAGATTGCAGGGTAAACATACCTCGAGGAGAACGTATGACATTCATGGTAGGAGCGAGTAGGACATTCGCGGCCTTTGTCTGGGCTTCGCGGGCGATCTCCTTTCCTGTGCGGAAGAGCAGCTCGCGGTCAAAGGTCGCCCCAAGGCTGGTGCCGCAGGGGAAGCAGGCAGCTTTGATACCGCTGACATAGCTCTCGCCTCGCGCACCGTTGGGACCATCTGTGAACTGTACAAGGCGGGATAGATTAGCGTTTGGGTTGAAGTGCATCGTGCCATCGGGGCAAAGTGTCGATTGAGCGAAGGAAGCTGACCTTAATGTGTGGGACGAAGACATCATCGCGCTTTATGACCTGCGTGCGCCACCAGTGGGCTGCTGCCAGTAGAGAGATCTTCTCGTCGCGAGTGAGCTTGCTCAGCAGCTTGTCTAAGTCCTGTGAGTCGCTCATCATGGGAATGGCAGAGGGGTTGGCTGAAGACAGTATAGATTGGCGATGGAGATGACAATGAGAACGTACAGGGGAGATGGGAAGTGTAGATGGGAAGTCTAGATGGACGGCGGGTTTTATTAGTGACGGTAGACAGTGGTGGTGGCTAGAAAGGCAGGAACGATGGAAGGCGGCACAGCACGCCATAGCTAGCATATGATCCACCGTCCGGTCACTCTCAACTAATTAGTATCTACCCCGCTTGTTCTACCTCGCATGCAGCATGAGTTCTGTTTGCCAAGTTGAAATAAGATGCTACTCAGTAGCTTATCTTGCCGATGCATCCGGACTGTTGAGTGACATTGTGACAATAACCATCATGTCATTTCATTCAATCGATTATGGCTATCCCGTGATTGGTGAAAGAGCCGTCTCGGGTTCCGCCCCCTGCTTGCTATACTGGACCGGCCCGGTATAGTCCCTCAAGATCTAGATCTGGTGCTGCAAATCTTTCCCTCGGTGTGTTGCTGGCGTGGAGCTTGCGTCAGTAGACAGAATCCTTTGCTTGCAGCTCATCGGTAAAACTCCCATGAATTTTCTTGCTCTGTTTATTTGTATGCCATTTCAGATAAGCAAGTCGACAACTTGTTATAGGAGAGGTCAATGGTACTCTTGATAATAGCCAAGGTGTAAGACAGTCGAGTCGTGTCCGGCATCAAGGAAGGGGCGAACCTGGATCGTCTCCCATTATTTGAAGATAGGCAACAGGCAAGAGAACAAAACATACAAAAGACATTGTCTGCAAATTTGTCCAAAGCAGGAGCAAAAATGTGTAAAGAAATCAGTTGAACGACAATAAGCACAACAGCAGGAACAACAAGTTCAGGTGCGGGGGCGGGTAAGAACCATGGGCGCTAAGAGTTCCGCTAGTTAGCCCTAACCGCATGGCTGAAAGGCCAGTTTCGCTATCATCAGAGTGAAAGTCCACTTTGTCCAGTGATTGGAAGTGCGGGCGCAGTGACTGCAAAGCAACTCAAGCTTAGTTGTGCTGAATCGTCCCTTACAGGTTCTCAGTCTGAACCTGATATGCACCAAAGTATTGGGATCGACATTTTGTATGGCTGCCATGGATATCCGCAGGTATGGAGAAAATTGGCAATTCAATCACAAATGGATGATTATCTGAGTCTCAATTGCAGCAGCGATATTCGACTTCCTGGTATTCCTGGGCGACTGATTGATCGTTGGCGCTTTCGGCAATTTTATAGGAGTTTTGTCTTCTCCTCATATGTCAACCACCTCGCCTGAGAGATCATCATTCGCGACATCACTTATCGTTCTCGGGACCTCAGAATAGTTGATAGCTAACCGGCCGACTTCGACTGATTGTGTCTAGCTCGAGATCAGAGATGGTGACAACAAGCGTACTTTAATATGACGGTGAGAGTATATGTCAGCTGCGGGGAGAAACTCGGCCATCCACAGTGTCTTGGGGAGATAGTATTGAGACCTGTTTAGTATGGCATCTCCAGTTCATCAGACTTATGCCTTGTTACAATGACCTGTAGTTACTAGTGTGTCTTGATAATAGGTTTGATAGACTTGCAATGTATAACATACAGCGAACTGGCGTACACTGGCTGCTGGGGACTTTCCCCCCGTCTATCATGAACAGATTTATGCCAAGCTTTCATGACCGTGACAGGCGAGGAGTATAGATTGTCTACCCGATTGCATTTTGCTTGACTGAGCCTTTCTTTGTTTCTCAGTCAGGATCACACACAATTCTGAGTATGCAAGAGGAGTAGTGAAGGCATGGTAGAATGTTTGCTTAGTGCGTTCATGCCTCAGGACGCCGACGACCGCGCTGCCGACTAAGCAACAATGGGGGGGACCAGCGCAGCACACCATTTTCGTTGAATGACCATCTGATACACTCACTGCCTGAGGTCCTCCGTGTTATTTTCTTGCGTTTTTTGTTCAGACCATTTTCCGGTCTCATCTGCATCCATCCTTTTTCTCTGCACGCCTTCCTGTCCCTATCCCTCCTCATTCCTTTTATCATCCTAAGTATCGAGCCACGTCTCTGAGGGGCAATAGCAGTCTCTTCCAGCTTACAGCCTCACTGGTCATCTTCAAAGAGCCTGTATATCCCCGGAGGCCCAGTCAGAAGACTGTGGCGCTTCGGGAGATTCACGGCGCTCCAAAATAAGGCTTCGTCTGGCTGTGTTTGAGCTTTTCCCTGCTTCTAACCTACGCTCCAAAGGACGAATCTATCTTCAGATCCGAGATTAGTCAAGCCCGAACCTTCATATATCTGTTCTCCTGAATCTTGATTAGCATGGACTACTTCTCGTATGTTCCGGGCGGTCCTAACCCGGTGGACACACAGCCGATGGACATCATCGTTGACGAACCACATCACTGTGCCATGATCGAAGAGAAAGACCAGGAGATTGTGGAGGCCGAGAACGAGAAGCTTGATCAGCTGGTGGCCCAATTTACTAGGGGTTTCGATCCATCCACCCTCCGTAACGAGGTGATACCAGCCCTGCCAATTCTCGCACAATCCGCTTTCCCGGGGACATATGAGCATCTCTTAATGCTCTGCTTCACAACCGACGATGAACTACAGGACATGCAAGAAGAGCTCGAGAGATATCTCTTGTTACGCTATGGGCAGGTGTTCGATGAGCTCGTCCCGCGGACCACGACCAACATCACCGACGAGTCTTATTTTGCATCGGAGATTGAGACCCTGAGAAGACTCCTCGAGCCATTGCGTGGCGACTCGACGAGCCCCGTCTACTGGCTGAGTCTTAGACGCGCGAATCCGACCAAGGCCCGGCAGCAACTCGAAGCAGCGACCAAGGTGATCAACGCTTTCAAGAAGGACGTGCTTGCAGCTCTGCACTTTGATCCACAGGAGCGTAAGTCCAACACTTTTCATCTCATTTGACTAGCGTCTCTTCTTACTGATGTCTTACAGGAAAGATAGTCAACCCCCTTCCAGTCTCAGTCGAACGCTCGGCTTTCGTAAGCATGAAGCACCTACGCATCGACGCCTGCAAGGATACGCTTCACTGGGACGAGTACAACCAGAGCAACATGAATCTCACCGTGTTCTACCATGCGTACAAGGCGCTTCTCTGCCGAACCCAGCCGGACAAGGCACGCGAATGGGGATGGCTCCCACCCAGGGTCCTCGAGGCCCCTCGTGCGTCCAGTCCTCAGGCATCCATTGGTGATCTAGCTTATTGGCCGTTGAGACAGGCGGGCAACGACAAGTACGATCTACTCGTGAAGACCGCGCTCTGGCTGGCGCTTGCTAGAGGCCTTCCCGCCGTGCACCTGTTTTGCGATTGTGCTCGAGTTTTCACGTCACTCATCCCAGCAGGCGATGCAAGCCCAAAGACGATTGTCTTCTTACGCCGTTTGACTCAACTCCGTGTGCCCGTGGAAGCCATCAATCCCAGCCCACGCATCCCCGTCCCATTCCAGAAGCGGTGCCAGAAAGGTGACAACGATGATTATTTCGAGGACGTGTGGAGGTCGGACCAGGACTTGGAGAAGGACTTGGCGCAGAATGTCTCGCTGTATGGCATGGACACAGCCAAGGATGTCCGCCGAGCACGGACCCCTCCCCCTCGACGCTCGTTTCAGCAACAGGCACAGCTCATCAAGGACGCTCTCACCGTTGAGACGAGCTTTGCAGACGTGTGGCCTCGTAAAGATCCGGCAAGTGTTCCTCTCGTCCCTTCTGCCTTACCAAAGCTAATCGTACTGGTCGTAGATCCCGGTGCAGCACCGTCCTCCATCTGTCCCTGAGCCGGAGCTCATTTGGAAAGTCCAGCCTGAGCCGGAAGAGCCTGACATTTTCGACAAGGATGGTTACGTCTCGGTTCTCTTCTGAGCAATGGGAAATTCCTCATCTCAGCCCCGGCTTCAGCTAGTCGATTCATCTCCGCTCATACCTTGACCAACACCTCTCTCTCCCCTGAACATTCTCTGCGACCCTCTCACCATTGAGACGAAACACCGAGAATTGGCACGTTCTGACGACCTCAAGAACGAGCCGAATCTCTTCGTTCCAGTCTCTCCGATCTCCAACTGGTACATTGAACATTGAAAACAAAAACAATCATTCTTGCCTTTCTCAGCCCGCACTTCCTTCCAAGCCTTTCCAACCCCCACCGCCCAGGACAATCTTGTTAATACATGCTTTTTTTCAATCTTGCTTCATATCTTCGACGAATCTTGATCTTTCCAGGAACCCAGGTTTTACTCATCCATCTTTTATGTGGCAGTCAGGAGCGAGCGGAGACCGCGCATTGGATTTGATTGATTTTTGTTGAGGATTGAGGATACCCAGAGAAAGGAAATGTGCAGATTTCCATCCAGGGCCCCCTTGGAGGGATGACTATTTTTGTTATTTCCTTCGCCATGTATCTACGCCCGTTGATCTTTCATGAAGGACATATCAAGATAGAATAACTGGGAAAGATGTAGATTGCTGAACAAACAGATGTAGAATTGTGTAAGATGTCCATACTGTAGTCTTCTCCTTTGCCAGATTCTCCATTTTGAGTTTGGCTCGTGGTTAGGAGCTTGGATCCTTGATGAGAGTTGGTGAGTAGGGCATGTGCACTGAGTTCTGGGCAGTGGTCTTGATAGTCTTTACTCTGCGGTGCACTTGTGTATAGATGAACAGCTTGTCACAGCCCTGTTTGTAAACTGCTCTATAATGTTGTTCACACATTTTACTCAGAGAAGAAGTTGATGAGACCAGATCTGGAAAAAGATAGGCATACTTTTCAATTAGATTCCCGGAAGTGATCAGCCATGGTATCCCATAGTCTAAGGGAGAAAAAGGAAAAGAAAAAGTGTGTCCCGAAATAGAAACTAGATCAATCAGATTCCCAACAAAATCAGAACTTTTCTTTATGCCGCCATGCTGTTAAACTCCAACAAAGGATCAATCATCGCCAGGTCATCAACAGTAGGACCCGCCGCGCTGGGTATCTTGGAATCAATATCGTGTATCATGTCATTATGCGAGGGAAACTCTCCCGCTGTGTAACCACCACCACCACTCTCCTCCCCATTCCCATATTGAACCGCTGGGCCGGCAGCAACCGACTTCCCACTAAGATCATACGGCTCGTAGCCTGACCCATCGTCGTCGTTGTCAAACTCCAATCCGTACAGCCCAAAAAGATCTCCCATCATCGCCGCTGTCATCGTGGCTGCAGTCGTAGAAGCAGCAGCAGTAGAAGAAGACTGTTGCTCGCCATCCTCCGCCAGCAAGGCTTTCTGCATGAACAGGTCTCGAATCTCATCCTCCGAGTAGCCATGTTTGCTCCCCATATGCACCCAGAGGTCGTAGTTCCGGTGGAAGCGATGCGCGCACCCTCCCTGCATGCACGGTATCTGGCGGCCCGTTTCCTCGACATAACCGGCGCCCGTCAGCGCTGCCAACGCCGACGGTCCTGCTCCTGCGCCTGCTGCGGCCGCATTACTTCGCTGCTGGGCGGAGACCTTCGGCGCCAAGCCCAGCCGCTGGCGTCTTTCCGCCTTGGCGTTCGGGAATCCCATGTGTGCCGTGCGAATGTGTTCCTCGAGGGCCAGCTTGCTCCCGTAGCGTTTGCCGCAGCCGTGAGCTGCACCGCCGGGCCAGCCGGCGACGCGCTTCGACGCCGAGAGGTCCGTCTCCCCGCAGACGAACCGCTTCTCGCCCTGGTGGACGGTGCGCACGTGCACAGTCAGGTTGCCCTTCTTTGTGAAGCTGCTGTCGCATCCGGGAACAGTGCAGGGAAAGACTTTGCGGTCCGAGAGGGGGACGTTGCCGTGGGCGACTTCCAGATGGCGGCGGAGTTCGCGGGTGGTGGAGCAGGTGAGTGGGCAGTGCGGGCATTGTGGTGGATGCGCGACGCGAATGTGGGCTTGGAGGAGGGCGTAGGAAGGGAATGTTGCTGTTCCTCCTGCTACTGTGGTGTTCGTGGTAGTTTGTTCGAGATCCGCACGCTGAGCGCATTCGGCGCAAGTAAAGCGTTTCTCGGTGTGGACTCGGCTTTCATGGGCGCGGAGATGTCCAGCAGTATCAAAGGCCATGGAACATCGTTGGCCACTGGCTGGGTCAACATGCGTACACGGGAAAGGTTTCTGGTTGAGATGGGCGCTCAGAATGTGTTTTTGGAGGGTCGTGTGCTTTCGAAAGGTCTCGTCGCAGGGCGGATACTCTGTGCATCGGTACTTATCCCGCCCGTCGTGCGCAGCCAGATGTCGTCGGAGACGGGAGCCCGTCACGAAGCTCTTTCCACAGCCGGGACGATCGCAGACATAGTCTCGGATCCCTGTGTGGGCGCTCTTGACATGATGGTTCAGATGGGATGCCCGGAGGAAGTTCTTGTCGCAGTCCTCGTGAGGACATTGGAAGAGACGCTCATTGTTGTGGGAGCGTAGATGCTCTTGAAGTCGTGCTGGGCGATTGAACGCTTTGGTGCAACCGTCGAACGGGCAGCGGTGAGTTTTCAGCTCGGAAGGATATCTGGAGGATGTTGTCGACATGGGCGTTGCAGGCTTTTCGTGAAGACTGTCGCCCGCTTCACTGTCACTGTCCGAGAACGCATATTCGACATCAGAGTCTTTCTCTCGATAAATCGGGTCTGTGGTGTGTGAGTATTAGCAAGGGCATGCTATCGCAACGGCAGTATGTTCTCTATCGTACCGACATCATCATCCAGCGTCGGTAGCTTCTGTAGCCTTTTCGGGCTAGGAAGCTCCCCGGTCGCCTTTCTTTTTTGACTCATTATTCCGTCACCTGCAACCTCATCCACCCAAAATGCTAGATAGCATGATAAGGATGACGAGATGAGAGAAGCCCTGCAGATAAAATTTTGCCAAAGCGGTGAGCAAGTATGTCCTAAAACGGACTAGTTCCGGACGAGACGACAGGAACTTTTTCCGCCTTTTGGAGGTCCGCAAACTACGATTTCTGCACCTCAACAAAGCAAGGCTGTCGCATCGCTCCTTGTCTCACCTCAACTCATCCTGTCGCGGTCTCGGCGCCTCTCCTCGTCTCTTTTACGGTCACCCAATTTGTCTACGGTCCTAATTGATCTCGATCGGCACCATGTCGGACTACGGCGATCACGGCGATGAGGATAAGTAAGAGCTTCCTCGATATGACCCGTAACTAGCATTGCGCACCGCGGGATTTGCGCAGCTGGTGAACGGCTATCCTTGGATTTAAAGAGAATGTATGATGATCTGACTTTGATCTTCCTCTATCTTGCAGCTACGACTACGAGCCCGCGGAGCAGGATTACGATGACAACGAGCCCGAGGACTTCCTCAACCCCGAAGATCTGGATGTCGCCGAGGGAGGTGACGACTATGGCGAGTCTTATGCGCCGGCCGTGAATGGCGACCGTGTCGTTGTCTCGGGCGACCCGAATGCCGGCTACTCAGGCAAGGTGATGGAGCAGGCGCGGGAGAAGAAGGTGCCCAACGACCAGCGCACGACGACCCCATACATGACCAAGTACGAGCGGGCGCGTGTCTTGGGAACTCGAGCTCTGCAAATCAGGTTGGTCTTGGACATGTCTCCAAACAGACTGGACGAGTGCTGGGTAAATCTGACCGCAATATCAGTATGAACGCTCCGGTGCTTGTCGATCTTGAGGGTGAAACGGATCCTCTGCAAATTGCTATCAAGGAACTCAACCAGAAGAAAATTCCTCTCATTGTGCGGAGATATCTTCCTGATGGGTGGTAAGCACGATTTGTCCCGTGAAAAGCCTTGAATGCCACATCTAACCCGCGTCGCCAGGTATGAGGACTGGACGTGCGAGGAGCTGTTGTAAAAAAGGGTGGAGACAGTATGGATGGCTGTACATTGATAAATGGTTTTTCTTGTCTTTTCTTGCTTCATAATTGTCACGGTCTAAGTGTTTCTCTCTTGGGCAGCATAGCGTTTGGAGTTTCGGAGTAGGGAAGCAAGTCAGAACGGCTTGAGCAATCCCTAGGTTACTAGGACGAGCGCACAAAAAAAGCACACAAGGATAACGCACTGCAGTTCATAACGGCAAAATACGAAAAAAAAATCCATTGATGTTGATATACTTGTTTTGATACTTGAGTCCGGTAATAGCTGCATTTGCTCGACACTGCACACCTTGACCGCAACTCAGACGTATCGGTAGACAATCCAGTCGTAAACCGACGACAGTCAAGCTGAGTTATTGGTCTTTCGTTGGTGAAGTACTCTGTCCCCGTACACCAGGTATCTATGCATAGCTCGATCCTTACCATGAGCGGCATATGATAGATCATGTAAAGCACGAGGCGCCAGCTCACCACTAGTTATAATCCCATAGTACGGATATTGGATGTGGCTTCCAACTGATGTCACGCATATTCCGAGTACTAATGTACATCGAATGGATACTATACTTTGATACCAGTTGAGGTGCAGTTCTTCTATCAGCCAAGCAAAAAAACCCTCCGCCATACTCCGCCTTGCCTAATTCAGTAAGTACTGTACCTGAATACGCCGGGCGGCTTCGATTTCCACCACTCCACCATTCACTCCTCAATCACATTCAATGTCTCTCGCATCCTTGTCTCCAGCTTCTTGTCCGCACATCCCAGGTCTGTCTCGCTTCGGTCCAAGTGGCGGGATCCGCAGCAAGTTATACGTGTCATGATAACCGGGATGACCTGCCTGTTGAAGGGAAGTGGAGCAAAAGTAGGTGTGCGTGCGTGCGTGGATGGACTGAAAAGTCGGTTCGTGCCGCGGCCTTACTCATTGACTCATGATCCACCAGGCCTTCCTCTATCAGCCAGTGCCGGTACGGAATCAGTGTAACCTGCTGCGTCAGAATTCAAAATAATCAGACTAGTCTCGATTCTCAAGATTGAAGAACCTGAGACTCCGAGAACTCCTTCTCCGCCTGGATAAATCGGCACGCTGCTGACCCCTGTTCCTTGCCAACATGCGCCTTGATCGTCCTGCTAATGCACGAGCTCCATGCCATATCTTGGCCACAGTAAAACCATTCGGACGCCCGGCAGTGACGGCACAAGGTTATAGGTCTCCTCTTCTCCAGGATCAGGATCTTGGGGTCATAGTTCATACCCCTCTTTCTTGTCATCTGACGAACCCTTCGACCTTCACGTAGTAGTTTTACCAGCTATCACCGAGATAAGATGTGGTCGATGGGCCCTGGGGTAAGGACTCCTCCCTCCTCGGCAAGAGTCTCCATCCTCATATCCGGAACCCACCCGCCGGACGTCCAGTAGGATACTCTCCTCTGATGGAGCCATCAGGCCATTGGCACCCATTTTCACTGTTGACTGGTCGTTTGACCATCTCCAATACGCTGGAGTCAACACGGCTTAGCCAAATTTGAGTGGACCCCTGGACCGGCTTTTTCTCTAATGCAGTCTGCTTTTCTTTCTACTTTTCTAGCTTCCCAAGCTTAGTCCTAGGGCGTGGCCCCGACAAAAGATTACATTATTAATCATACTACGCTGCCACCGACTCAGGCCTTTGCTCAATTGTTTTATATTCAAGGGATCAGCAGCGCCAGGCCTTTGCTCGCGGGGCCTCCATACTTGTGTCACTGCACGTCTGCTGTAGCCGTGTCAAGATTGCAAACGCTGTCGGTCTTTCCCTCTACCTTGCCTTTGGCGCTGACCCTCCACGCGACGATTATCTCGATCCCCAAATAATCGTGGTGAAAGATGGGAACCCATGCTGATCTGAAGGAGAAGGTCTCCGCAGAGTCTCCCAGCACCACTGATCAAAATGGCAGCCATACAATCCCTGTCTCTCCATCGGACGACAAAGCCCCAGAGCCGACCTTCGATACCGGTCTCATATCATGGATCCAAGTGATAGGTTCTTGGTTCTTGTTCTTCAACTCATGGTATGTTCTACTATCGTAAAGTAAGTCCCTGTCTTTGCGGGCTGCTGACTTGCCTAGGGGAGTAATCAACACTTGGGGCGCGTTTCAGACATATTATGAAGAGAATACATTGAAGCACATGTCCTCCTCCTCGATCGCCTGGATTGGATCGCTGCAAGCTTTCCTCCTCATGCTATTCGGCGTGGTGACAGGCCCTCTCTTTGACGCAGGATACTTCCGTGCGCTCCTGGGGTTCGGAACCATCATGCTGCCCTTCAGTCTTATGATGGTTAGTCTGTCTACCAAGTTCTGGCAATTGATCTTGTGCCAAGGTATCCTACTCGGTCTTTCCGCTGGATGCCTGTTCGTTCCGTCTGTCGCCATCCTACCCCAGTACTTCAAGCAGAAGCGAGGATTGGCAAACGGACTGGCCGCCTCGGGGAGCAGCATTGGTGGCGTGATTTACCCCATCATGTTCGACCAGCTGCAACGGCGGGCTGGCTTCGCATGGGCTACTCGAGCCGTGGGCTTTCTCTCCTTTGGGACCTGCTGCATCTCGTTCTGCATCATGCGTATGCGATTTCCTCCGAAGGAGAAGCGCAAGCTCGTGCAGCTGTCTGCGTTCAAGGAGCCAGTCTTCACCATGTTCTGCGTCGGAATGTTCCTAGGCTTCCTGGGATTCTACAACTTCCTCTTCTACATCCAGTCGTATGCCATCGACACCAAGATCGTCGACGCCAATCTGGGCTTTTACCTGCTTTCCATGCTGAACGCGGGCTCGACCTTCGGTCGAATCTGCCCCAACTTCATCGCCGACCACATTGGACCGATGAACGTGCTTCTGCCTGCTGCAACGGCAACTGCCATCCTGGCCTTTGCGTGGATTGGTGTTCACAACGTCCCCGGCATCATCGTTCTGTCCGTCTTGTACGGTCTCTGCTCCGGCGGCTTTGTCTCTCTTCCTCCGGTGGTGATGGCTTCCATAACCAAAGACATCCGTGACCTGGGAACTCGTCTGGGTATGCTCTTCGCTGTGACTTCAGTCGGTCTGCTGATTGGCACCCCCATCGGCGGCGCAATCCTCAGCAACACCGGGAAATATCTGGGCGTGCAGCTCTTCACTGGGTGCTGCCTCATCACCTCCTCTGCTATCTTCGCGGCCCTGCGGTATACTCGCACTGGTCCTCATTTACTGGTGCGGGCTTAACTCTCGTGATTACCTTATCACCCGCGAAGCACCGCAGGCCGACTATCTATGAGCACTTCGATGTTGCCATTATCTTCTGTGGAACTCTGCTTATAGTAAGCATATCATAATACGCTGGTTCATCCAAATTACGTTTTTGGGTCATACCATTCATTTGCATAACGGGAAAGCAGGCGTTATAGAAAAGAAAACTTGATTTCATTTGCCGGGGAAAAGAAACATTTGCAGCATCATCCTACGATACATACCTCAAAATGCATATATGATTACCGTACCACTCGCTTCCTTGTCCATGCATAGAACTGTAGCCACGAATCACGGTTGTAAGATGCGGTCTCACACAATCAGTCTCATGACTATAGCTATCTAGATCGAATCGACTTTGCCAACGCCCAAACACCAAGCTTTTGCGAGGAAAACAACCAAGCACAAACATCTCTCGGTACTGCAACTTCCCGACTCAAAAGACTTACACACGGCCGCCCTCATGGAAGAGCCAAGAGCTACAACCTTCTCCATACCAAACTGCCCCCCTGCCAACCTCTAAATCACGAAACATCCACCGGATCAACCAAGAACTCCTCCCCTTTCTCCCGAACATGCTGCAGGTTCTTATCGCGACTGCACGGCTTGCGCATGTCGAACGCATCCTCGCCCGTCTCCGACATCCCCGACGGATCATCGCTGTAATACCCCACGACTCGCCGGAAGACCGAGTACCTGCGCCGAATTGTTAGCATTGACACTACCACCACCACCACCACCACCACCGCGGCCTGAATCCAGACAGAGGAGAAAAATACGCACCCCATCCCCTTATACATATCCACCGCGACCTTATTCCCGGCGCGCACGTACAGATCCACGAACCAGGCGTCGTTGATATCGGAGCCCCGCTCGAGGCGTTCGGTGAGGCGGCGCGCGTGGCCCAGCCGGCGCCATGCGGGCGCCACGGTCAGAACGGTGATGTGGCCGTGCCAGGGCGTGTAGTGTTCCGAGTGGCGCATCTGAGCGGGTTGTTCTTCGAGTTTACCCATGACTGTTTTTGTGTTGCGTGCTGTTAGTTTTGGGGTGGGAGGGGCCAAGGGGGTTGTTTACTATAGCCGACGATTCCTTCTTGACGGTCTTGGACGCTGCTGAAGAGGGAGGGCCAGCGCATGAGGTAGTTCAGGTAGAAGCCCAGGTCGTAGTTTTCGGTCAATGGGTCGAGGTTGGTGAGGTTGAGGGAGAGGAGGTCCGTTGGGGACATGCGGCGGATGGAGGACATTGTGGCTGCTTTTTGGTCGGTGGGATGCTTTGGGAGGAATTGAGTCTGTATATGAGGGGAAGAGAGGGTTAGGAACGTAGAAGAAACGAGAGAATGGAAGTGGATGTTATGTTGAGGTTGGAGAAGTAGCTGCAGTATTGTTGGAGGTCAAATCAAATTCTCGAAATGGTGCGGGGAAGGAATGAGGGCGGTCACGGGCAGAGAGAATCGGGCGGCGGGCAGCGGAAAGGTAGGCAAGACAGGCAGGCTAACTTAAGTGATTATTGTTTTCGGCTTCAATATTAGTTCTTCTTTATTCATACTTTCTTCTCCTTCTCCCCCTTCTCCTTTCCCTTCCCCTTCCCCTCGTTCATGCTCCTATATTAACGACTAGAATTCACACATCCAACAAGACTTGTTTGTTACTCGACACTCATTCGTCTCTTCCTCTTTTCCTCTCTTTCTCACTCATCCTGGTGATGCGGTCGGCGATCCTCCCATATTAACTTTCCCCTGTTGTTTACCCCGTGGCAGCGCGCCCCCAGCCCAGCCCACTTGACGAATTCTGAGACGACTACTTTTTCCTACTCGCTCGAGGATAGACCTCCTGCTACTACATCAGACTACAGATTTCTTTACAAGACTCAGTCATTTTTCCAAACCTCATTGAAACCGCAATCATGCCGTCCATACCCCCTCCCCTGACTTTATCTCACCGCCATACCCGGAGTCGATCGTCCAACATCGACTTCGACCCTATTTCACCAGGCACCTACGCTCCCAACGGTTTTTCCTATCAGTCGCCTCGGTCGCCGCGTACACCTCGTTCATCCGCTCCTCCCTCTCCCACCGACTCTCGCCCGCAGCGTGCCAACAGCATCAATGAATCGCACCGGATGTCGGTCGACTTCGGCGGCGCGGCCGGTGGAGGTGGCCTGGGCAACCTAGCGGATGAGCTGGCCGACGCATGGGAGGAGGAGGAAGGGGGTTACGGAGGTTACGCCTCCGGGCAGGACACCGGGGCTCCCGACCACGCACAATACGCGACTCACAGCGAGGACGAAGCTGCATACAACCATCATACACGAACCCCGTCCTCCGGTTACTCCCCGGAGCGGAATTCCACGCTGCAACCCCCGCGGCCCAAAACGCGCAATGGCACCCAGCGGCAACACCGCCGGTACGAGTCGCAGTACGATGGCTCCGACTACGGGAACGACTCGGACTTCGAGGAATCGGATATGCCCCCGAGTCTGGAAACACAGATGGCAGAGATTGAGAGTCTGGCTCGACGAGGCATTGAGAACAACGGCAGTGAGAATGACTACGTGATTCAACGAGCGGTGGAGGCTTTGCGGGATTTGGGCGCTCAGAGCGGCATCGAGAACAATGCCATGAGGTACGTTTGTCTATCCCTTGCGGTTGAGTGGGAGTGTGTTACTGACGCAAGATTTTCTCCAGGCTCATTACCGCTCACTCCTCCATCACGTCGCATCTAACACACCAAACGCGGGCCCTCCAAACCCTCATCCACCCCCTCCTCTTCTCGCCTTTCCCGCTTCTGTCGGAGGATGCCATTGATGCACTCATCCCGCTCATCGACGAAGAACTCTTGCCCAACCTTCCCTACCCTTTCCCCGACCAGCCCCGTCACTCCTCCCGGCCCACCACCCCCTCGCAGTCTTCAGCCCTCAACCCGCTCGTCTCCCTCCAGAGTCTCGTCTCGCAGACGTCCGACATCACCCTCTCCCTCCGGGGCTTGAGCGATACGCTGTACGAATCCCGACAACTGACCGCCACCGCCTCGCGACGGCTCCGATCCGCACGGGAACTGGTGGCGGAGCTCCGCCGCGAAGAAGAGGGCCGCGAGGAAGGAACGCGGTGGATCGAACGCGGGGACTGGGACCGGCGGCTCCGCGACCGAGAAGCCGGCCGAGTCTGCGGCGACGTGGTCAGTGGGTTTGAGGCGGTCTGCGGCGAATGGCGGGAGAAGCTCTTCGGAGCCGCTGGAGCTACCGCTACCCCTGGCGCCGAAGTCGCTGCCGCATGATGAACGTCATTCAAGGAAGCACATACAACAGAAAAATATCTTTGATCTAACTCCAACATCTCACCTTATAAGAAAAAACGATCACAGCACCTGTGTCATGACCTACTTACTTCCTTTCCCCTATTTCCTGATGACACACCGCATCACCCCCTCCCTTTTTCCTTGCTATTTTTCTCCTCATCAAGTATATAGACATTGCCTTTTTCCCCCACGCTATAAGCTTCTAACTTATTCACCTAAGAGCCTTTTTTGGTTCTTGTTTCTTATCTTTCGCTGGTCGAAGTTTCTTATCTTTAGATTTTCCGCTATCGGTTATGTTCTTTTTTCCCTCTCTGGAAGGATTCATTAATGAACTTGGTCTTTCTTGCAAGCATCGCTCTCATGTCATTGATCTTACGCGATGATGCATATACAAAATAGAGAAATCAGTTGGGAATACATGCATCTACACCAGAAACCTTACGAGAAAGAAGATTTAGTAAATATGAAAGACACCCGTGAGATGTATGTATGCATCTAGTCAACATTTTGAAAAAAAAGATATGCCTAGTATAGCGGAGAAGAAGAGACAAATTAGATAAAGCAGGAGGGGGAAAAAGGCAACAGCAAGAAACACGACTAACTACACTATGTCGAAGAAGAAGAGCATCCGGTTTCCCCTGAATCCGTAAATTTTTGTTCTCGAAATAAACAAAATTCATATCCTAGGGTTGTAGTAAGAGAGGGCGGAAAGGAGAAGGGAATAGGACATGACGGTATCTCTTTTATGTCAGAGGGAGAAGAAGATATAGAAGAAGAAAAGGAGAGGAGACAAAAAGGCCTAGAGGGAAGGGAAGTACGGAAAGAGGGAGAGTAAGGGGGAGGAGAACATTTAGGAGAGGGAGAAATAAAGATGGAGAGATGGTTTCATCATCGTCATCATCATCATATCAATCACGCACGCACGCGCGCACACACACACACACACACACACACACACATACACGCCCCTTTTCTGTAACGAGAGGATTGGGTTTTTCTTTGTTCTTGCTTCTTTCCCAGGAAGTAAAAAAGAGAAAACTTTTTTTAAGATCAAAAGTCGGTCATGTCATATGAGAGAGAGTAAAGAAAACATGCTAGTAGGAAGAGGATATCTACTGGCCCTGCTGCTGCTTCCACTTGGGCACCCACTTGCCACCCGAAGAGGCGGCGGGCTTGGACTCCTCGGAAGCAGGAGTCTGAGTGCGGGAGGGAGGCTGCTGCTGGGAAGAGCTGGAGTCACGGGCGTGACGGGGCGCCCAACGCTCCGACGAGGCAGCCGGAGCAGGAGCCGGAGCCGCGGCCGGGGTGGCATTGCCGCCCGAGCGGAGGTGAGGAGGCACGTAGCCACCACCCGTGCGACGCGGAGGCTGAGCCTCTTCCCGCGGCGCGGGAGCCGACTCGGCGGGCGCGGCGCTGCTGGGGGCACCAGAAGCAGCAGCGGCCTCCTTGGCGGCCTGGCGCTCTCTCCAGCCACCACCGCCACCACCAGCAGTGCGAGGAGCCAGGTTGAGGCGAGGAGCAGTACGCTCGGTAGGAGCAGGGGCAGCAGCAGCGGGCTCGGGTTCAGGAGCACCAGTCTTACGGGCCAACCGGCGGGCCTCAGCTTCCTCTTCACGTTGCTTCTGTCTGGCAGCCATCTCATCGAGTCTCCTATTGGTAGGGTTAGTAGGATGAACACCAGGAACATTTAACAGGGACACTGACTTTCTCTCCTCCTCACGCTTGACCTTCTCCTCAGCCAGAACACGTCTGCGCTCCTCTTCCCGGGCCACTCTCTCCTCCTCTTCGCGCTGAATACGCTCTTCCTCCTCCTTGCGACGGCGCTCCTCCTCCTCGCGCTCGGCCTTCTCACGGCGGCGACGCTCCTGGACTTCCTTGACGCGCTGCTTCTTCTTGGCCTCGAACTCACGCTCAGCGGCCTTGCGACGCTTCTCGAACTCCTCGTGGCGCTTCTCGGAGACCTCCTTGCGGAAGCTGTTGAACTGGGGCACCAGACGGCTGAGACGGTGCTTGAGGGCAACAGCCTCCTTGTGCTTGTCTTCGGCCTCCTTGAGGGTCTCGGCCTTCTGGGCCTCGTAAAACTCCATATCTTGCTTCTTCTGAGCCTCGTAGTCCTCGGGAATGTGCTTAAGTTCCTCACGACGGAACGCACGCTCCAAGTGATCAATACGCTTGGCGGTGGTGCGGACACGATCGTTGAGCTCGTTCTTCTCCTTCTCCAGCTGAGCCAGCTTCATGGCACGGAGGCGGTTGGCGTCCAGCTCGGTCAGATCGAGCTCGCTGATGTCAATGCCCTTGACACCGCTCTTCAGCTCCTCCAGCTGCTTCTTGAGCTCCTGCTGGCGGATGCGCTCCTGCTCATCCTGAATGCGCTTCTTCTCACGCTCGCGCTGCTCGTCAGCCAGGCGCTGCTTCTCAGCCTCCTGGAGCTGCTGAGTGCGGATGCGCTTGCGGGTCTCCTCCTCGCGCTGCTTGCGCTGCAGTGCATCGGTGGCAGCCTCCTTCTTCTTCTCGATGATGACACGGCGAGCCAGAGTCTCCTCGTGCTCCTTGGCAGCACCGGCGGCAGCACGGGCAAGAGCAGCGCGCTTGGCCTCCAAGCGAGATTCGCTGTAGGAGGGGTCGACGTACATGCAAGTGACGTGGAGGGTCTTAGCCAGGCGAGTAAGCTGCAGGCGAGCAATCTCGGCAGGGGTGTTCTGAAGACGCTGGACGGAGCCGACCTCGCTCTCAGCAGAACCAGCGGCGCTGCCGGAGTGCAGGGCCTTGGCGGAGGAGAAGACATCGGTGTCGAAGGTGAGAACACCAGAGGTGTGGTCGACGCGGATGGCCAGGTCGCCCTTCTTGCAACCGTTCATGATGAACTTCTCGATCATCGAGGGAGTGATCTGGAAGGGGTCGGGGAACTGAGCCAGCTCGTAAACGAACTTGAGCTCGACGGACTCGTAGACCTGAGACAGCTGCTGGAAGAGACGGGTAAGAATGACCTGCTGCAGGGGCAGGACGTACTTCTCCATCTCGGGGTCGGCACCAATCTGCTTGAGGATGGGGGTGATCTTCTTGCAGATGGACAGAGGGTGGAAGTCAACCTCCAGGATGTTGTACAAGTCGCGGATCTCGGGGCGGACGCGCTTCAGCAGACCCTTGTTCAAGGCATCCTTGAAGAGAATAGCACGAGAGGGAGCCTGAGCCATACCGAGCAGGTTGGTGAGGCGAGTGTTCTTGTTCTTACGGGCCTCATCGACGTCAACGAGAGCACCGCGGGAGCGGGAAGTGCTGATGACAGGGATGGAGAGGGCCGACAGCAGGACGAAAGAAGCAGCCTTGGTCATGTCAGCCTCGCTGACGGAGGGGTTCTCCTTCTTGGTGCTCTGACCAGCGGCAAGGGCCGCGGCGGACTGGCGGAGCAGGTTGTAGTAGCGGCTCCAGGCGGCGGCGTGAAAGAGGTAGTTCTCGCTGACGAGGAAGATGCGGGCCAGCTTCTCGTAGTAGTTGGCCATCATGACGTTCTTGGCGGGACGCTTAGACAGGCTCAGCAGGGTGTGGATGTCCTCGATGCTGCGGAAAGCCTCCTGCCAGAGCTCAAGCTCAACGGCAACGTTCAGCTGCTGGAAGCGAGTATCCAAGTGACGCTGGAGGGTGTCGGGATCGCTGAGGTTGATGGCGTGCATCTGAGCGGAGTACTTGGCGGCGTTCTGGACATGGTTGCGGAGAAGCTCACACAGACGGCGGAACTCGGTCTTGCGGGTGTACTTGAGACAGAACTGGAAGGCCTGCAGGGCGGTAGTCTGGTACATCACCTCCAGACGAGCGTTGTTCTTGAGGATCTCCAGCACAGTGCGGTAGGTTTCCCAAAGGAACTTGAGCCAGGGGGTGACGACGGCGCGGTCGGTACGGTCGCGGGACTGTTCCCCGGAGACGGTGGCCAGCAGAATGGTCTCGGGGGTTTCGATAGCCTCCAGATCGTCGACGTTGGAGGAGGGAGCCGCGGATTCCAGGGAAGACTGGATCTCGTCGGCCTTGGCCTGAGCCTCGGTGACCTTCTTCTCGGCGAGCTCGATGAACTTCTTCAGGACCACCTATACAACACACAAAACAAATCCCCCCTTCAGTCAGTCTTTGGCCTAGTGGTAGATACGACGGGCGACCCTACCTCGATGGTGCCAACGTTGGTGTTCTGGGCGATGTTCTTGTACTGGTAAAGACCATCCTTGGCGGACTTGCCCTTGCGGAGATCGACACACAGCTCAACGAAGAGGAGCATGACGGGCTCGAGCGAGACGATGGGAGTGCTGCGCGTTCTCTTGGAGGTGACATGTTCGTGAAGGACGTTGAGGGCGGCGGGAGCCTGGCCCACGGCGATGAGTTCCTGAGCCCTCTACAGACAACAAACCGTTAGTTGATATTCCATCACTAATTCCCCAACATCATCATCTTCTTTTATCCCGTCTATTCTTTTTCTTCATTTGTTTCCCCGAGCCAAGATTGTTCTCCGACTTCTTCCCGATCGACAGCGCGTACCTTGAGGACATTTTCAGGCTTGATATGGGGTGGCGGCGGCATGATGGGCGATGTAATGGGTGAGAAACACGATCAGTTGTTGATAGATGTAAGAAAGATGGATCGCACAACGACGGGCGGGCAGCAGAGGTCGAGGGCGATAAAAGCCTGAGGTGAGAAAGGCTGCCACGCGACGGTCGGCGAAATGACCCAAGACGACACAAGCCGGTGGGAAATATGGGGGGGGGGAGGAGGGAGGAGGAGGAGGAGAGGGAGGACAAGACAGAGAGGCTGTGGTTGAGGGCCGTCGTTGTGCGAGAGCCGGCGAAAAAAACCAAGATTTGCCCACTTTGGGTTAAGCGACTGGGACCGCTGTAGTCACGTGATTACATCCCCAAAGCGCCCGCCGCTATCGACACGCGCTCTACATCCTACGACAGTGTGCTAGTTACGGTTGTATATTCTTCTACCATGCGAGCCATAAGGATGATTTGCAGTGCTCTTGGTAAGAATGTTTCGCATATTGGTGGTAGTGGTGATAACAATGGTGGTGGTGGTGGAGGCTCATCGAGCCGCGTCCTCCACAGCCTGGGCCACCCGCATTCTTCCTAGAGCTCGAACAATCATAATAGGATGAATGGAAGGATGGAGCGGAACCCATGGGAAGATGGGAGAGGGGAACAGGAATACTCGTATTCTGTACTCGAGAAACGTCCTCATCCTTTGTGTCGACCGAGCAGGAGATCCATTCGACAGAGCGCCAGCTGGTACGATCGCCATCGGAGCTATCAAGCTTTCAGGATTGATGTGTCTGTCCATTGATCAGTCTGATCAGTCTGTGCAGCGGATTAACTGTCAAGCCCCCAGCTGCACGTGAGGCTCAGAC